TCCGGAGGTATGCTGGGCGTACTCGAGTCCTCGCAGTTGACGGCCATCGGGGTGGTTGACCTCATACGCAGGGCGTACTCCGAGTACATGCAGCATACCCTCCTAAGCCCAAAATCCATTTTAAGATCTTAATGGCTTAATCTCTTACGTCTAAACTTCAGATCCATGGCCAAAATACTCTTAGGAGTCCTAAAGTCTCCAACTTTATGATGTATGATGTCTAATAAGTGCTTAACACAAGGTCTTATTCCATTAAGACATTCTTACAAGATGCATGAAACAAAACTAACCACTTGGAACCCATTTTAATGACTTAAGACCACTCCTAGGGTCTGAAAGGACAACTCAAAGGTCAAGAACATGCCATATTCTATATTTAACATTTTGGGACCCAAAAATCTCAATAAAACAACCAAAACTAGATCTATGGGATAGAGGGATCAAGTTACAAGCTTTTTATCTTTTAATGGTTGGAAATGAAGTAGAAATCCCAAATCCAAGTGTTCCAGTCCTTCAAGATGAGCTTGACTTCCATCCTTCTTCTTCTAAGGCACCAAAACATACTTCTAAGCTTGAAAAGGCTCCTCAAGGTGGTTCTAGGGTTGCACAATCGTGTGGGTGAGATGGAGGCAACTAAGGTGGGTGAAATGAGGCCATAAGAGTGCTTAAATACCAGCCAAACCCTAAAAATTAGGGTTTCCTCATTTAGCAAGTACGCCTAGTGTACACTGATGTACGCCCAGCGTACTAGGGAGCGCCCTAGTACGCTCAGCATACACCACGTACGCATGGCGTACTCCAAAGAACCAATATTACAACAATGCCACTAGGGCTACTTTTGCATTCTTTCTTGAACTTAAGGACCAAAACGCAATACACCTCAATATAAGAATCAACAATGGAAGTTCTTTAAAACCAGATGTTACATACATGACTTTATTATCTCATAAAGATCCAAAGGGATTCAAATAAGCCGCTAAGCATTCCAAATGGATTCACACCATGGAACAATTAAGTACAAGCTCTTCGACACAATGACATATGGGACCTGGTTCTTAGACCAGCTACATCCAACATTGTTGGATCCAAGTGGGTTTTTTCGCAAAGTATCGGTCTGATGGTGCTATATATTAATACAAAGCATGCTTAGTCGCCCAAGGCTTTATTCAAATACCGAGTCTTGATTACACTCATACCTTTAGCCTAGTTGTGAAAGCATCGATTGTTCGTATCATACTTTCTGTTACAGTGCATACAAAATGGACTTTACATCAACTTGATGTAAACAACGCATTTCTTAATGGGCATCTTAATGAAACCGTCTTCATGGAACAGCCACCTGGTTTTATCGGCTTGCGCTTTCCACATCATGTGTGTCGTCTTAAAAAAGCTCTTTATGGCTTGAAACAAGCTCCCAGAGCTTGGTTTCAACTCCATAGTTCCTTTCTCATCCAAGTCGGTTTCACTTGCAGTCGTGTAGACCCTCACTTATTCATGTTTAAAAGAGGCCCATGCATTTTATTTCTTCTTGTTTATGTCGATTACATAATTTTAACAGGAAATAAGCAGGCGTTTATTGCTAGATTATATCAAGAATTCGTTATTAAGGATCTAGGCAAATCTTGGGACTAGAGGTTGTTTACACTACAAATGGGTTGTTCTTAGTCAATCCAAATATGCCTTAGATATTATATCCAGAGTTGGTTTATTGGATGGAAAACCAATCTTTACTCCACTTGCTACCTCAGAGGCGTTAACTAGTCATGATGACCCATTTCATGACCAAACTCTCGATCGTTCTTTGGTTGGTGCTTTGCAATACCTCACCATCCCTTGTCCTAATCTCTCATATGCAGTAAACCAAGTTAGTCAGTTCTTGCATGCACTACCAACAACTCATTTCCAGACAGTCAAGCGTATTCTCAGATATGTCAAAGGAACCTTATCCTTTGGTCTTTATTATCATCGATCTTCAACTATTCCTCTTGTTGACTACTTGGATGCTGATTGGGCACGTTATATCGAGACACGGCGCTCAACCTATGGTTATTCTATCTTCCTTGGTGGTAATATTGTCTCTTAGAGTGCTAAGAAGCAACCTACTGTATCTCGCTCTAGCTGTGAATCTGGATATAGGGCTATGGCAAACACGGCTTCTGATATCATTTGGATTACTCACCTCTTACGAGAGCTTCACATTCCAATCTCACCTGCGCCATGTATATATTCTGACAACAAGAGTGCAATCTTTCTTAGTTAGAATCCTATTGCCCATAAACGTGTCAGACGCATTGATATAACTTATCATTTTGTGAAAGAGTTGTTAACCTCCGACAAGATTTATACTCAGTTTATTCCCACCACACGTATGGTGGCATATCTTTTTACTAAAAGTCTTCCATGACCCTTATTTTGAACATTTTAGATCCAATTTATGTGTTGGTCCACCACCTTCTAGCTTGACGATGGGTATTAAAGATAAGATTACATGAATACAAATTATCTATCTACTCCTGGTTGATAGGAATATTGTTGTATTTGATTTCATCTTACCATGTATATTGTATTCATTATAAATATCAATATACAATACAATTATTGGAGATTAATCATAATTACTCTTGTAGTTACATTGATCTATATCTCATCCTTTAATTTTGTATTTGTTTAACATACTAATCATTAGATACATTTTTTTGTCCACGTACTAATATAATAAACACCAGATACCATTGTTCTTGCCTTTTTATGAATTTCCAACATAATGTGGCAGTGATCTACCATTAACCACGACCCTCCACGAATTGACACACACTCGCTCTTCCTACCCAATGATGCATAAAATGCTTTTAATGTGTATCTTCGTCGACTAATTTTCTCACATACAAAAGTAAGTCGAATTCCACAATATTGGTATTAAAACTTCCAAGTAAATGCGAGTTTTTAATAATTTTTTTTAATTCTAGTTATTTGATACTACTTAATATTGATATTGAGCAAACAATAAAATGACACAAAAAATTATCGTGGTTTGGTTGATATAATCTATCTCTACGAACAAGAACCTAAGAGCAATCTATTACTTGACTATTTTCAAAAAGATACATTTGAAAACATAACTATAAATACTTATAACCGTAAACACCCAAACATATATTCCAAACATTTATCCTTTCGAAATCATCATTTGGGTTTCTTCACTTCGTTCTAGGTCATATTATCTATTGGAATCACCAAATTTCAAGTCACATTTCCAAGGGCGTAGCCAATATAGGGCAATAGTGGGTCTTGGCCCACCCACACAAAATTTAGGTTATATATAGATATAGATATATATATATATATATATATATATATATATATAATATATATATATATAGGGAAAAGTTCAATAGAGAACCATAATTATTGGTTTTTCAAGGAACCAAATCTTTTTTTCAATTTTTAGAGCTTATTCTTTATCGAAAAAAAAAATCTAAAAATATCTAAATTCATATATTAACATTGTGAATGTGAAAAATATTTTTCGGATTCACCGTGTGAATCCGGATTCACATTGTGAATTTTCAAGATTCACATTGTGATTTGACGTAAAAAAAATCGAATTTGATATCATTGGAAAAATGATAAAAAGTTATGAATTTCTGTATTTTTAGTTTTTTTTTTGATAAAAGATAAGTTCTAAAAGTTGAAAAAAAAAGATTGGTTCCTTGGTTCATTATGGTTCTCTATTGAACCTCACCCTATAATATAATATATATATCTATATATATAGATATATATATATATATATATATATATATATATATTAGAGATATGCCATATTCCATTCAAAACTTAAAATTAGTAGAAGAGAATACATTGTTGTCTATGTTGATTAGACTCCATTTTAAATTATTTTAATGATTTAAGACAACACTGTGTGCAACTTAAAATAAACAATTTAGTTAATAATGCATATATAATTATCGTTTGAAGAATTTTGCCTCTCGTTCATATTTTGTATATTATTTGGTCTACCCTAAAACAAAATTCTGCCAACGTCACTGCACAGTTCTTACATTTCATGTATAAATTTGAGCTTTTTGATTTCTATTTATGCGACTTTCAGATTCATGGTTTCTTTTCAATATTGAATGAGACCAAAATTGTATAAAACTTTATAATCTACTCCTAGATTATATTTACGTTTGAACCATCAACCATTTGGACCAAAACACACCATGTCGACAACAGATTAACAAATTCCTATGGCCTATCAACCCTTTTGGTATACATTTATATATAGTTTTTATGATCTATTTCTCTTCAAAAGGAAGAAATACTTTAAAATGCATAACCATTTTAGGTTTCAAATTCATCAGATTATATAAACATAAATTGATGACATGAAATACTTGTTTGGTAATACATTTATTTACAACCACGTTTTATATTTTCTCGCTTATATTGTACGTTCATTTTCTACGATAAGACATAAAAATTAAAATTAAAATTGTATTGCGATATTGTTCTTTACAAACCTTTTGTTAAAGAATAAATTACAGATTTGGTGCGATATTGTTCTTTACAAACCTTTTGTTAAAGAATAAATTACAGATTTGGTAACTGTGGTGACTTGATATTACAAAACTGGTCCACGTAAGAATTGATTTTGCTAATATAATGAATTAATGATCGATAACACTGATTTAAATGTTAGGTGATTTACTTTGACATTTTTTGTGTAAAATTATTGAAAACATTTAAAGAAGTTACATATTATCCCCTAAAAGACAACAATATCGGACTTGTTATCCATGATCAAACTATATCGCTGAATTTAAATTAAAAAAGTCCAATGTAGATATATCTTGAATCTAAAAATCATTAAGATTTACTAATATCTCTAGTTTCCAAAATTAATTACCCGGGAAAAATAAACAAAACAAAACAAAACCCTAAGCTCCTCTCCCGCCATCAACAAAACACCAAACCAGTCTCTTCTGCAAACTCTCATCATGACCACCACCACCGTTTCCGCCACTACCACTACCACTACCACCACTACTGCTACTGCCGCCACTGCTGCTTCCGCTACTGGCGGCAATGGCACGAGAGGCCTTCGAAATCAGACACAAGTGCCACCGTGGGTTTTGGTTATGATCAACATTCAATATAACGGTTGCATGATTCATTCGAATGCTAAGGACAATAAATTAGATCGATTTTGCATTGATTGTGGTGCTTCGTTTTGTAATAAATGTAGTTCCAATCACCATGGACATAAGTCCATCAAGGTATAATATTTATTATCTTGAAATCAAGATTATATTTACTACTTCATGTTTAATTAGCATGCGAATAAAGTGTGATCGATTGATGCAAATCAAAAACCTTATAATCCTTAATCATGTTTTGTTGTATATAATCCTTTATCGACTCATATATGATGCGTAGTGATAGATGATTCATTAGAATTTACGTAGTTTATATAAAAAGTTAATAGTTTAATGTTATGCTTATGTTTGATTAATGTTGAAGATTCGTAGGTATGTATATCATGACGTCATCAATCGACCCGATGCTCAAAAACACTTTGATTGTTCAGGCATTCAGGTTAGATTTTTTTTCCATGAACACATGCCAAAAGAGATTGTACTGTGTTTATCATATATTCGAGTGACACTGATATTATCACATCCAAAAAGGTATAACAAAGTGGGATATATAAGTTGTTTGTGCAAAAAGACATAAATATCTTCATTTTCATTATTAAAAATATCCTTAGAAAGTTGGTATTTTTCCAACACTGAAAAAGGTATAAAAAATTTGTGACAATATGTTGTCCATAAAAAAGAAGCCTGAATGTCCTTTTCATTCTCACCACTAAAAATGTCTTAGAAAGCTTACCTTTGTTCTACCCAAAAAGGTATATAATGGTTTTATTGTACAAATGACATGAATACTATTCTCATACCCCTTATAGGAAACAAGATACTAGTCCTTGTACACCAAAAAAATGTGGGAGAGATCTCTTGCATGTACAAAAGACTTAAATGCCCTTCTAATCATCACCATTTAAATTTTCCCTTCAAAGCTTATCCTTGCCCCACGCCACCACCCAAAAAGGAAGACAGGTGGGACAAATACCTCACATATGCAAAAGATGTAAATACCCTTTTTATCTGTAGCATTAAAACTATCCTAGAAAGTTGGTCCTTGTCCCTTTGTAAAAGACGGAAATGCCCTCACACAAGAAATGTGTACAGGGTTATGTAACAAATAGAGCCAAAGTGCTGTTCTTGAAGCAAAGACGTGATGATCAGCAGCCGGTAAAAGAGCAACATCAAAACACAAGGAGTCATAACTGCATCATTTGCAAGAGAAGTTTACCAGATTCACGATACTGCAGTATTCAATGCAAAGTAATCTTTCTTTTCCATGTGTTTTTTCATGTTTTGTAGATAATATAAACAAGGCTAAATAATAAATACTACAATTTTTTATATCTTTGCGAATACTTTTGTTGATCTATTTTTTATTTTTTTAAATTTCATAGGTTTCTGCAATGTACAATACTGGAAACATGGAAGAGGCTGGAGTTGATAAGAATGTAAGCAGAAAGAAAGGTGAAGAGTCAGAGAAAAATTTATATGATGCTATGGAAGCTCAAGCTCCTACTAAATTAATGCCTTCCAAGAGAAAAAGATTACGAAAAGGGTTCCCACATAAGGCACCATTGTTCTGAAATATATCTAAAAGAAAATATAAAATAAGAGAGTGCTACTGTGCTAGTGACTATCTTGAACTTGATTTTTTGGTCATTTATTTGATTTGTGTAGGCGACTTTATCATCTTAATGATTTGTGTAGCTACCGCCATTGAAGGAAGTTTGCTGCTGTTCCTATTATCTACTAAGAAAGTATTGTAAAGTTTTTGGTGATATGTTTGATTAATTCTCTTCCTAGTTCATGCCTAAATGCATTTGATAGAAATTCTTCAGAATCTCAATTGAGCCTTGATTTTCAAGCTCGAGCCCAAGCTTGTGAAATAGTCAGCCACTTTGGATCTCGGCTCCACTAAAAACAAAATTGCAATATCATTAAAAATACATTGATATACATTTAAAATTACATTAAAAAAATCATTACACAACAATAATTGGAATACAATCGATCAAATTAGAATAATATGATATCATATTCTCATGTACTATAAAAATTGACAATGCCCGGTAGATATAAAAAAAATCAAATCCCAAATCAATTTAGTTTAATACAGTGTAATCTGTAATAAATTGTAATTATATCAGGTATTGTAATATCAAAATCGTTGTAGTACCTTTAAAGCATTCGTTGTAACTAAGAAAAAATAACTTTTAAATCAAGTATATTAAAATTTTGAATTTTTCAGGTACTGGAATACCAAATTAAGTTCCGTTCATGCAGTCACTGTAACTAAGACTGAGAGTTAGAAAATTATGAGCTGAGGTCGTAAGAACTAAGGAGGATGAGTGGCAAAAAGGTTGAGCATGACGACAAGTGTTGGCAGCAACGATGAGATGGAGAGGCAGAGAGGATAGGTCGTGGGAGGTAGGAAAGAAAATGGTGAAATCTGAAAGTTTTGAATTGAACTTTGAAGTCTTAATGACCTAGGCAGTTGCTTATGTGAAAACTCAAAAAATATTAAAGATTTTTAGTTTTTTGTTTAATTTTTAAATAAATATATAAAAGGATAAAAGTATAATTTTATAAAACTCGCATGAACTCCTGAGCTTTATGATCCGGTTATTTTTTACTTGAGCTCGGTTCGATTAAAGTTTAGTCGATTTCTCATATTTTCGAGTTGGTCTCGAGTTTCTTATCAATTGGTTCGGGTCGTTTACACATCTACATACAACATATGAAGCATGAAACATTCAAATAATCAACCCCAAGCTGTGTATATAACTGCGAAGCTAATCAGCTAAATCTAAAGGTAATTAGCAAGACTTTTCTTAGGGCTTTACATCCCTCCATCCATTTTCTACACCGTAGCCACTTAACAAAATTTGTTTGTTTTTTGTTTTTTTTCCATCCACTTCATTCTAAAAACCATCAAAATAGTATTTTTTTTTTTAAATCTCACAATAATATATATATTTATAGCGTACTGAGACTAACAAATATACATTAAATTTTAAATGTTTATTAAATATAAAATAATACAAACAAATAAATAAAATCAAAATCAAGATGGAATTACGGATTATGTTGGAGCATTTTGAATCAAGGTGGAGCATTTTGAATCAAGATAGAGCATTTGGCCAAAAGTGCGTTAGGGCATTTGCCAAATTCGCTCCTGGTCATGGCAAATACGATCGTGGGTGGCTTCACCAATCTTGTTGTTGATGAAGGATGTGCTCTTAGGATGAATTAGTTCCTCATGGATGCGCTCATGGTCCTCTTAAATGCGCTACATGTTGCTGAATACACTCCTAGTTGTGATTGCGGTCCTGGATACGTGCTGCTACCTAGGTGCAACGATGCTCTTGGTGTAAATGTGCTATCCCAGGCTAAAGGTTGAATATTCTAGAAGAAGTTGTGTGACGTCCTATAATTGATTAGCATTCATTTGGACCTTTGAATGGATGAGCTTGACCCATTAGGATTTTATGCCTGATCCTTAGTCAATAAATAATGACTGCTAGCTAGGATTTATTGCAGGCTCGTTTTGTTGGTCGAATTCAAGGTCTATATGGTCTTAATTGTAATGTTACTTTGTTTGAGTTAAGTGAATAAGAATACTCACTCCTTCCATGTGGATGTAGGTCGCATTGACCGACCACATTAAATATTATGTCTTTGTGTGTCTGATTCTGCATGCTTTCTCGTTTATTCCGTAACAAATATAACTAGTAATCTGGTTTGGGTAGGTAGGCGTTTTCGACATATTCCACTATATCCAAAAAAAAGTATGTGTATCCACCCACCGAGTAATCTTCCACATATTGATAGAATCTTGAAGTGGAATCAGTGAATCCTGTGTTTTTTTCTTTTTCGGTGAAGGCAGTTATTGATAGAATCTTGAAGTGGTGGGGTTTGAGGGAGCACGAATTTAAGTCTACTAGTGACTAGACAGATTGGTTTTCTACCATTAGAATGAAGAAGGATTTGAAAGATGTTCTGGAAGGGGTGTTCTTTGTTACTTGATGGTTTTTATGGATATTTCTAAATAGGATTGTTTTTGGTAAAGAGAAACAAAAAAATAGTGTTATTTTTTATAGCATTGTTTCTCATTCCTTTCTTTGGTGTTTTAATAGGTCTAAGTTATCTTTTGATTGGGTGTTGTGGCCTTAAAACCCAACTCTTGCTTTCTTGTAATGGTTTATACCTTTTTATGCTAGCCTCTTGCTAGTTTTTTGTTTTAATATATATGTTCAACCGTTTCTAAAAAAATCTTCCACATATGGTGATTTTTCTTTTTCAGTGCCTCAACATACCATTCACATTACCGTGTATATGTGTAACATCCCGAATATACTAGTAAAAATATTCATTTTCAAACCATTAAATCCATACAAACATTTGTTCAAAACTAATCATAGTAAAATGTATCTCTCAAACATCAGAGTAAAATAGTAATAATCAGTGCAGAAAAAGCCATAAGGGGATGTTGTGTAGTCAAGCCAGACTCTTCCCTTTGGAACTCAAAGTACACGAAAACATTTAAAACATAAACCGTAAGCACAAAGCTTAGTAAGTTCCCCAATTTTTCACATACCATGCATATTAGTAAGCCCAACCCTAGGGGTGTATTTCAACCCTACACGAACGCTATGGTCTAACCATAGTCTTACAATCACTCCAAAATTACAGCCCAGTTGTAACCTTTCTGACATGATCCAACCATGGTCTTCCATGCAAGTCATAAAGACAAACAAGTGTTATGATCCAACCACAATCTTTCATACAAGTGTTGTGATCTAACCATAGTCTTTCATGCAAGTTTTGTGATCCAACTATAGTTTATCATGCAAGAGTCACAAAGACAATCTAGCAACCTACATAGTATAGTAAGAAGACTCACTTCACAGACGTAGTCAACATCTAATAGCTCTTGCTATACACCTCCTAATAAACCATATAAGGTAAACTCTTAGTACACCTTCTAAAACTAGCCAATTGACCAAAAGTCAACCAAGTTATAAAGTCAACGATCAGATTCAACTCAAGATGGTCCCTATATCGTGGCCAATCGTTAGCCACATCGTGGCAGCTAATCGACAAAACAGTTGTGGATCCTTCAATCCCCACGTCATGGCAGCCTACTCGCTACGTCGTGGTTTCTGGGTTTGGACAACCTAATGGATTCAAACCTTAATCCATTAATCCCTAAACTTATACTTTCCAGAAAGCTTTTAGGGACACCAAAGGCTCATAAAAATCTAAACTTCATAGACATGCATGCCCTTTACCCAAGTAGGTGAAAGGGTGGAAATATGACCAAAAACTCATACAAAGTTCACAAAGCATTTCCAACTCTTATATCCATAGACTATAATGCTCATGGGACTCAGAAAGGCCATAAAGTTGCTAACTTTATTCCACCCACTCACTCTAACCAAAACCATGGAACAAAATGGGCTAAAATAACCTAGATCAAAAAGAATAAACCATAAAGATGAAAGCTTGAATCCTTACAAATGGTCTAGAAAATGATCTTAAAGATGTGGAGGTGTTTCTTGCTTGATCCTTGCACCAAATCCTCTTCTTCTTCCTTCAAAGTGCACCAAAACACCAAAGATAAGCTCAAATATGATATATATAATCTAGGGATAATGATTTTAATTACCTAAAAAAATTAATATTTCCTTTTAGTTAATGATATATATATATATATATATATATATATATATATATATATATATATATATATATTTTATGATTTTTCCCAAAAATTATTTATGACCGTTTCAAAAAAATTACCTAAAAAAATTAATATTTCCTTGTATTTTAAATCTGAAAAGAAAATCTTAAAAAAATTATTATTTTCTACTATTTCATGTTTTTGTTTTTCAAAAAAAAAATGAATAGAAATCCAATCCCAAATCAATACACTTCCAATCATAAATGAAAACAAATCAAATTACAAATAATTCAATGCATTTTTCATCAATTGAAAAAAAAATAGTGTAAAAATTATCATTTCTTCATAAAATGAATACCTCTAATCATAAATAAATAAATACACTCATTCACATGAATACACTACTATTCATAAATAAATACAATCATTCACACATGAATACATTGCAATTCACAAATGAATACATTGTTATTTATAAATTAATACACATTCTATCATATAATGAATACATCTAATCATAAATAAATAGACTCATTCACATGAATACACTACTATTAATAAATAAATACAACCATTCACACATAACTACACTGTTATTCATAAATGAATACACATGCTATTCATAAATAAATACAACCATTCACGCACCCCTTTCATGATATAATCAAATAGTTCACCTGAGTTCATATACTCCATGATGACATATATGCATGATCGAGTCTCTATGACTTCATAAAGCCGAACAATATGAGGATGGGAAAGAAGCCTCATTATATTAATCTCTCGTCTCACTGAAAATACAATCATGAACAAGTAAAGGAAATGATCAACTTCATCACTTCAGAGGAAAGAAAGCGGCAATTGTTGTAATTTTAGGAATACCTTTCTCTGCAGCAGAAT